CAGAATAGTCAGTAAAATAAAAAATAAATATTCGGTGTTTAGATGAATTTACGGATTGTTTATTAAACTCATGAGCGCTTGCCATTGAACACCACAAATATTAACTCACTTATTCAATTCTTCTTCATGCACAGGAATATTTCTAGATATTTTCAAAACAGCAAAAATTAAGCCACGTTTTTTAATGAAAGACAACAAAAGTGAAATTCAAAATTCTCAGAGAATTTCTTCTTTTTTTCGGTTTCCTAAAAAATTTTAGAGGGATGTTTTTATGTACGAATAGAAACATTTCTTAGGAAAAGCCAAGCGTTCTTTTTAACATGTAGTTATAAAATCAAAATCTACGCAAAATGAAGCTCCAATTGGATTTTTTTAGATATTTGGAAAGCTTTTGACATCATTGACTTCTGTATTAGGAATATCGGGTCAATAAGAACTCAGCGCAACTCTTGCCCCTATCGTTGCGGAAACGAGACTGACTGCCCATCATCTGCCGCGCTGCTGCGAAACCTCTACTCTCCCGCCATTGATCTGTCCAAGTATTCACGTGCAGTCACTCTTGCTACAACCAGAAAATTTTACTTTCACATTTCTTACGGATTTCGTGGTTTTGCCCTGGGTATTCTCGTACCTTAAACATTGATTGAAAAGGCTAGAAATTCCGTTCTGGCATGAAAGAACATTAGTTACTCATCTCTCCAATTTTTTGTCAACTGAGCATCGGGTCTCGCAAGATTTGTCCATAGGTCCTATGCTCTTTCTTTTATAAGTAAACTATATGCCCTCGTCCATTATAAACGAAATGCTTATTATACGGGTATTCATTGCAAATGAGAAACAATAAGTGGTACAATTTCAAATGTTTCAAGTTGGTTTTGTTAATACATATTAATAACAAACGAAGAAAAGGCTGTTTCAATGCAGTTTTGCATTTCAAACAAACTACCGCATTCGCCATTGAACATGAATAATATTCATTTGGGAATATGATAATATTAAGGTAACAAAATTCCTAGGTGTCTCTATTCAGTAAAATCTCAAAAGGAATATCGACATAAAATAATTGATGCGCATCACTATGTTACGCATTCAGAGTTCTTTCAAATCAATTAGCCTTAATGCAGTTCACTGTATGTAGTTAACGAAGATGTACCTATATTTACCAGCTGAGATCGGCAAATATTCTGGTGAAGCACATTGTTTTGAAACCAGTTTTAGATTACCAAACGATTGTACAAATAAGCAAATGCCATCCATGTTATTGTAACACACGTTTAGGAATCAGTGTCGATTGATTGATTGATTGTTAGTGATTCCGGGAGCGTCAACTACTCGGGTCATTAGTCCCGTAAGTATAGGGCGTGTTCTTCCTCAGGAGGTGGCGGTGGCTTCCCCCACTGGATGACGAGATACGGCGCCGACCTACCGTCGGCAAGCGGGATTTTCCCCAACCAGACATCTCCCACCAGTGGGGTACCGCCCCAGCCGGAACAAGCTCTAAGCTCCCAACCGGTCTCCCGACAAGTGTCAGACTATTAACATGGAGTTAGGAAATCAAAATCTACGCGAAATGAAACACCAATTAGAATATGTTTAGATATTTGGAAAGCTTTGGCTTGACTTTGGTATTAGGAACAGTGCATGATGTAGTGTTCTATGCATGGTGTAGTGCGGATAGGAGTGAGGACAAGGAAGAGGAAGGAAAGATCGCGCGCGGTCCATTGCCCGCGTGTTAGGACGGTCCGGCAATCGCCTGGTGTCGATGGGAGAAACCACGGAAACCACCGTTCAGAGCAGCCGGCCACTAGGATTCTCCTTCAGACTGAATTGCTGAAGTCGACCACTAACCTATTGTTACGAATATTGCGTCACCTGCCGAATTCGCTGCGCGTGGATTGCGTCATCTGCCGGCGCCCCTTCCCTCCCCCCCGAACTAGACGGTTCCGGACTATCCGCGAGCCGCGGGAAACGCCGAGAATATGCCGGGTGCCTGGAGACAAGCGCCGGGCAGGTATAAATGCGCCGCTGCCGGCGGCCGCGAGTCAGTTAGTAGAAGACGTGAGTAGAAGTCAGTGGGTAGTAAGGCGTCAGTGAGTGGCAGAGAAGCAGTCAGTCCGTCAGTGTGCCCGAAGTGGAAGCTGTGCTGTGAAATGTGCATTGCGGTGAAGAGTGGTGCAGCGGTTGAACAGCAGTCAGCAGTCTGAAGTCTGCAGTGGAAACTGAGCTGTGAAGGGAGCATTGCGGTAAGCAGTGGTGCAGTGGGGAAACAGCAGTCAGCAGTGTGAAGTCTGCAGTGGAAGCTGAGCTGTGAAGTGGGCATCGCGGTAAACAGCAGTGCAGTGGACTCTGGTGTGCGCAGTGAAGTGTGGTCTGCGCAAGGAATTGTGGTCTGCGCAAGGAATTGTGGTCTGCGCAGGGGAATTGTGGTCTGTGCAGGGAATTTGGGTCAAGTGCAGTGGACCGTGGACAGTGCATTGGACTGGCTGATACTGTAGAAGAAGAGAACTGTGTAAATAAATAGTGTGTAAGGAGTGAACTGTGTAAATAAATCATCAAGAGAACGGAATCGTGTGTAAAAGAAAAATAATTAATTGTAATATATCTGTAAATAGACCAAGTAGATTTTAGTGTATAATTGTTCCCGAATAAACGTTTTTGTTTACATATTGTGTTGGTTTCAATTCACCACGAGGAACGTTACACTATGTAGCTAGCGTCGAAAATTCTGCCAGCGTCTGTGCTCGAACCGTACGTCCTCCCGGTCAGAAGCACTGCAGTAGCATCAGTTAATGCCCTGGGCCACACGTGCCGTTGCAAGACTTTCAAAATCACTCATTTAATTATATTGTTTTATAATTCTGTTCGCGCACGCTGTGGCTTTGAATAATTGTTATGGGTGGAAAGAGAAAATTACATTGTCCCTGATTCGTCACTCGCTCCGGAGAATCCGATAAGATTTAGATGGATAATAAACCAACTTATTTCATTTGCGTTACATGTCAGTGAATCATGCAGGCCCAATAGTTGAGAAGTTGGAATTATATTTGCGTTTAGTTTACCACGACTTTCATGTTGTGCCTGTCTTTCTGAAAAGAACTAGTTGTGGTGGTGCTACAATAGCACGTACTTTTTTTTTTTTTTTGTTTTTTTGTTTGTTATTTAAGGACAGATCACCTTCTGGGTCATTAGCGACCACTATTGCGTGTAACGGTACGGTAACTATGAGGATGACACGATATGATGATAGGGGTGAAAGGACGAACACAATACAACCAAGCCCGAGGCGGGACTCGACAACTTTCGGTCCATCGGGACCGGCAGCACGTACTTTGCGTTAGTAAAGGTTACGTAATACAATTCTGCAATTTCTGTCTTTATTAATAACTCAGCCACACTTAAAAACCTCCTTACCGAACGTAGCACATGACTTGCGAACCTACGAATCTGCAGCTAGAAACATTTAGGATTTCTTACCCATCTACAAGACAAACAAACATGATTAAATCACAATTGTAACAGTATTCTTAGACATTATAGACACAAGTGCGAATAATTTCCACAAGCTTGCCTCGATTACTTCAAAGAGAGCTCCCAACTATAGAAGGGTTACGAATCTGCACTACGACCTTGTGATCTCATGATTCAAGAAACAAGGTTTTGCGTTCCGAGGATGCGTACTAGCAACCAATCACGTTTTGACCTGTTGACCTAGCCAAAATAGCGGATATTTCTATTCTTACCAGGACAGGTCCATTGATTTTTGAGGCAGACATTAACAACATGGCAGTTTTTATTAAAAATTGTTGCAACTTCTTACACTTCATCGATCAACGATTCGAAGGCCATTGGCCCTCAACATCAGAATCGAATTAACCTTCGAGCACTCACGTCTACTTTTGAGAAACGATGACTCGCGCGTTGTATTTTTTATAATATCCAGAATTGTTGTACTTTTTACAACAGGCGAGTGCTCGAAGGTTAAAAATAAAATGATATAATATAAAATGATATCAAAATCAGTAACATTCACTGCACAGTATTTGAAAATATAAAATGATATAAAATCATTAACATCAACTACACATTATTTGAAATTGAATAACTATGACATAGCACTTTTTAGATTTGATTTTTGTTTAGAAGAATTTATTAATTTATAAATAAAATATTTGGAAGTCAAAAAAGGAACTAAAACAATTTGCAGAAATACTCAAAAACAAGAAGACATAATTTGGTCAAGTAGTACCCTCAAGTGAAAATAGCTTCTATTAAATAAAATTAGTTTAAATTTACCTATAGTTGAATGCATGTAGAATTTGAAGAATGTACTCGTATAACAAATAATTCACTCATAATGTATGTCTTAATATAAGAATTTTAATAATGTACAAACTGCCGTTGTGATCAAGGCGGCGGTCTGTGTTGAACTAAAACGTGTGGGGGATTGTTGATACAGATGAGGGTGGAGAGAATAGTGGAGGGGGGAGGACTGGATAAGAGACCCGTTAAAAATACTTGTAATGGGGTCATAGGGCCTTGTAAAAGAATTTTGCTCTGTCATGGTATTCAATGTTTGTTTTTGTAGTTTTATGTAAATTGTTTCTTTGGTCAACCTAGAGAAATATTTTGAGCCTTTTTGGAATATGGTAGGGTTTTAAAAATAGCTATTAAAATTGATTAACGTTCAACCTTCGTAGCAAAATTGTGTTATTCTTGCACGTCCAATTCTTATTTCGTCTGTGAAAGCGTGAACGTCAAGTGGAAAAGTGATTCAAGCTTTTGTGTTTGTTTGCGATTGTGACTTCTGCAGTGCATTTTAATTCATAGAATTTTAAATATTTTATACCAAATAAAATTATCCAGTGAAATAAACTGTCAAATAGTTTCGATTATTTTCAATTTAATTATATTTATTCATATAAATTGTTTCTACTAATTTTAAATACTCGTATTTACAAAAATGTATGAGCAAATATATCCTAAATATTTCCTACATAGTGCTAAGTTTGAGGGTAGTCGTTAAATGATATCTAATATAACAAATAACTGATAATAATTTCTTACAAACAAAATGTTTCTTTGCGTTTGTATTAAACTGGTTTTAATTATTTTCTATTTGATTATTGTAGTTCATATATATTATTTGTAGACAGACAAGAAATATTGAATAAAAAGTTAAAAAAGTAATAAATAGACCGATATAAAATTAAGTTTAAGAGTCATAGAACAAGTTCTTTATTACAATAACATTTGCCAAAAGTAGTTTTCTAGGGAGCATTTCAGAAAGCTAAGCCAATTTCAAGCACCTTTTCCTGACCTCGAGAGTGCTTTTTGAATACTGTCATTTTCGATTACTCTATCGGTGGCATTGGACTTACCAACGTATGATACATATTTATCACTTAAAGCCCGAGTCCATACAGAAGTGGTAGCATTTCACGTACGTTGCGCCTTTATGATGAAGGTACTATTTATTCATTTCGAGGTTGAAGAATTGTTTAGATGTTAAAAACAAGAATTCTTGGCAAAACCTGGTTAGTTCACATTTTAATCACGTCAGGCAATACTTGCACCCGAAAACTAGAAGGGGCTGAAACACCACATACACTCGCATTATTTGTAACGGACAAGCAATATTATAATATTACTTGAACCTGCAAAAGGGATTCCAACCACCAAAAATGTTTTCCCAGCGCGAACTCAGGATCACAGAGTTATGACGCCATTCACATAACTCCCTAAACAATCAGGCTCATAGCAAAAACTAACCTTCCGAACGTTTAAAAATAAGATGAATATTGATTTGCAAGTTTCAAAAATTCAGAGGTTTTCATTTGCAATATTGCAAGAGCTAGTTTTAAAGAGCAGATTTAATTTTAAAAAATCTCTCCACGATAAGCATTGTAGTTTTGCAATGTTAATTTTTGGTTTGCGATTTTCGAAAATAGAGAACGTTTTGCAAAAATGGGACCTGCAGAATTTTTTTATACGGCACCAAATTTTTTAAAAATTTTCTCTTCGTAAAGGAAGTAAAAACGTAGTGCATTTTCGACGAACTAAGTTTTTTGTTTTGTCAAAAGTTAACATTTTAAAACTAAAAAAAATTAAGATAGATATTTTCCTTAGACAAAGTCTTTTGTAAAAAATCAGTGATTTAAAACAGGTCATGTACATTTTTTTAAAAAAAAGAGTAGATTTCACGTAATTTGTGCCTGAAATTTCTAAAATAATATTTCAAAAAGCGCTCAATTGTTTTATTAAACTTTTCCCTAGTATACAACGATGGATGGTAAAAGTATGGTGTTAGTCCCATTTTAGGCAATCTCTCCATATTTTCAAAAATTGAAAAAATTGTTTGTTGGAAATTCTGGGTTAAGACAATTACATTTTTAAGCTTCGTACCAGGTTAAAGCCTTAACCGTTCTTCTGTAGCGCAGTAGTATGGCTGACGGCGAGTTAACTCGGGGGACATGAGATCTAGATTCGGATCTGAAGAAAAAAAAGTGTGCTGGCTGAGAATACTTTTGCATGTTTATGTAATAGTATAATATAACGGAGCAGTTAGAAATAGCATCACTAGTTTAAGAAAATGTAGATTTACTCACATAATATTGTCAATCTTATGAATCTTGACCTAAGGATTAACGTTAGCCGGAAAGATAGAAATTATCATAATTCACAACTTTTCTTCACGTAGATGACTTGAATCGTTCCAAAACATGTTTTTCTAGTTTTAAAAAGAATTATGAAAAGTATCTACCTAAAAACAATGAAAATCCATTTGCGACATTGAGAGGAATCAAATGCACTAAAACACAAAAACATGTTTTTGGAAAAAATATCTATTCATTTAGCAGTTCATACACAGTTCTTTTTTAATTTATTTTCATTTGGATAGGACAATACAAAGATCAGTGTTTAATACACTCTACATTTGTTATAATTGCTTATATCTACTTATAATTAACTTAAAATAATCTTATTAATAATCTTAAAGTACAACTTACATTACTACTAGAGTGGTAGAGGTATCTTTATATAATATCTCTACTTTGGTTCGAGATCTGAGAATTTATTTAGGAATGTACGAAAAGGAAATATATTCTTGATGCGGGTTCTGTGTTTTGTATTTTGGCAGAGTCCTAGCGGGGTTAGGTTGGGTATATTTGGGATGTTCTGGAAGAAGTGGGTGGATACAAAAATGATATGGTTGGTTATCGGTTCTAGCTGGAATTCTTTATGGAGTTGAGCATTGGAGATGTTACATCAGGCATTCGTGATGGTGCGGAGGAACTGATTTTGAATTGAAATAATTATAGACGTTGTCATTGCCAACAATAGTATTAAATATAAGAGCAGCTTTCGATGGCTTAGTCATCATCATCAGTTGTCTGATGGATGGAAGCCACAAAACGACTACTTCGGTAGTCGGTAGTATTGTATGGTAGTTTTGATGAACAGTTCTATTCAATCAAAATCCCATCTATGGATAAATTAAACAGAGTTGCTGATAAGCTACACCCCTGTCGAACTGCAAGGTTCATATTCAGAAAAGATTTGTCAACTTTAAAATCAGTGTCGATACATGTTCCAGCATACTGGCATTTAATTACTTGAATGAGATGGTAAGGTATACCCTTCTTTATTAAATTTCCCACAGCAGTGGTCGTCTAACATTGTCAAACGCTTTCGCATAGTCAATATGTATTAGCATAGCAATATTATTCGCAAAGTCAGTATGTAATTTTCAATATTATATTCTCTTCTTCTTTTTTATTTTGGAAAAATATTTTTGAAGGCATTTGAGATAGAAGCTCAATCTTTCAACGCCTTTAATTCGTAAGGTGTATATTGCTATAAATTCTGTTTTGTTTCTTGCCCACAACTTTCACTCTGCTCAATGCATTTTGTCGTTTCTGTTTTTATGTCTTCGAAGTTAAAAGTAATACATTGCACTATTTAAAAATTCAAAATGAGAATTTAGAAGTCAATTTATTAGTCATTCTAATGTGTGGAGTTAACTGGTTTTGTACATCTCTTCATACAGACAATGTCTTAACCTTTATTTGTCGGAATAATGTTTATCAAACTTTTGTATAGAAATTTCCCTCATAAAATTATATTTTGAAAGTGAAATTACCAATCCGTTACCATTGTAGGTAAATGGATTAAATTGACTCGTTTTCTCCAAAAGTATCGAACTCATAATGTTTTGACAGATGGAAATCTTGACGATGAAAAACTTGGCGACAATTGTCCACTCAAAACACATGAACGTTCCGCTTTCCCTCTCTCCGATGTGACTCTTCATTTCTGGGAGAAAGCATGGGATGTGAAAACAGAGGTGACTGAACTTTCCATCTGTTTTTCGTCATACGTAAATGCGTCACGAAATCTTCATTATATTTAGTAAAAAACCTATCCTCATTTTATCACCACGTAATTCTGCCGTTCATGTTTCGGCGCATAGGGCTAGGGCGAATGGAATTTGCGTATAAAACATATCAAACAGAATGTGCATTTTCCCGCACGTATTGCAAGATTAGCAAGAACATTTCGCGTTTTCAGTTGTTCTTCACATCTACATGTAGCCGAAAACAAAAAGATTTCGCCTATTATTAAGTGAAATAATAAAGAAACTACTGATGTTACTACGGCATTACATTATTTGTAATATTTATGTGAAATTACAGTCCTAGTTAAGCCTGCAAAATTGTTTCCAACTCGCAAATATTTGATGTGGTTGGAATTCCCACCCACGCACCATACCCTTGCATGTTCCGCACTCAACTAACGTCCTCAATAGAGTGCCTGGGTGGTGGTGTTCGAACGACGCAACCCACACATCAAAAAGTAAGATATTTTGCAATTACTCAGAAGCCAGAGGTTTTAATGAAACCAGTCATGTGTCATATTATTAAACTAACATTATTCTATTGAAGTAAAAAATTAAGACAACTAGTGGTGATACATAATGACACAGATTTTCTCGTACTATTTATTTTTATAATTTATTTAATTTGGTCTAGCTTTTCGGTCTTGCCATGTACTCTTGCCATCTGTCATCTATCGCCGCCAACATTTTTTCTTTTACATTTTCTCACTCTATCGGTGTCTTAATGGTGTCTTAATGCTACATTACTTTAAGAATATTAAAGAAGGGTAAAACCTCGTTCTATATCGCAATTTTCATTGAAAACTTAGGAGCCATTTCTAAGAAAATAGCCTTTGAGTGTTACTGTAAATGCGAAATTTGAAGTTTTTTTTTACAGAAACATTTTTGAGTTTTCGAAAAAGTTTATTAAAAGTTATTTTAAAGCACTTTCACTCACAAATACAATAGTGTTTACAAATCGCTGTAAATGTGCATATTAACGGTGATATTTTTAAAATATCACAATTGGGTAATAAAAAAACAAAAGCATGCACTAAAATTAACTTTACGACTTATTAAAGAGTGCAATTGACACTATCCGTTCGATAAGTTTAAAGAAAAAAATTTGAAGCCGTTTTTGAGAAAATTTTGAAAATGTTCGGGGGCTTCATGTAAAGTACTCCCAAATTTTCAAGAATGATTTTCAAAATCGCAACGCTGCGAGTCGAGCCAGATTGATCGGGAAATATCCTTTTTGGAAAACATCCTACGAATGGTCTAGGCACTAGTGGTATTCACAAACGGACGGACGTTTGGAAAAAACACGTTTTCGGTATCAGGGGGTCCCCAAACGTGTATTTTCGTTGCATTACATACTCGTAACTTTCCCTATACTACGTATATTACTCCGTAAATATGTAGGTACACGGGAAGGTAACAATTGGAGCCATTTTTAGGAATGTTCGAAAGTATCGTTGGAATTTTATGTAAAATACCCCCAAAAATTAAAATATGTTTCAAATTCGAGAGGCTGCGACATTAGACAGGTCGGTCAGAAACTATCGATGTTTTGTGAATATCCTGCATACGATTATGTGCTACATTTGTTAACAGACGGTCGGACTCACATCTAAAGAAAAAAAACACACTATTTCT